AAGCGTCGAATGTTACAATATTAGATTCCAATTGGCTGGTCCGGGAAAATGTATAAAACGGACATTTGTTATACATCGCCACCATTCTCGTGAACGAAGGCGTTGAAACGTGATCAGCAGCTAAAATTTTACATTAATACTTTAAAATGGCAAAAAGAATAGAAATTAGTATTGAAACTCGAAGTGCAATTATCACACTTAGAAAGGAAGGTTATTCTTTGCGGAATATTGCAAGGAAATTGAAAGTATCATACAAGGGCGTGCTGGGTACATTAAAACGTTTTGCGGATACTGGTAGTTTGTAAAAGACAAATCACGGTCAGGAAGACCTAAAATCACGTCGAGAGCTGAAGCTGTAAGAATAAATATTATTTGCAAACGAATCAGATGACTAACGGCCTCGGAAATTCGTGTAGGACTTAATGATAGTAGACCGAATACAATATCTCTGACAACGGTGAAAAGGCGACTAAGAGCTGCAGGTTTAAATTGCCATATAGCAGTTAGGAAACTATTGCTTTCGTCGAAAAATCGTAAAGTGCGGTTGGACTGGGCAAAAAGTCACAAAAATTGGGCACCTACGGATTGGGGTAAGGTTCTTTGGACTGACGAATCCAAGTTCGAAATATTCGCACCGAAGGATATTTGTTCGCCGATCTGTACAAGTTGTCAGCATGTTCTACGGGCATAAGTAAGAAAAAAATGTTGCATAATGTTATTTTGTAGTGCTGGATATCGTTGGAATATAAACACAAAGATATACTAAAGTTATCATACATACACTACCGGTCAAAAGTTTGGAATCACTTGCTGATTTCTATCAAAATCGAATATACCGCTAAATTTTGAAATGATCCATCGTTAATATATCAGATGTTAACAAGAGATTTCAGCATTTTCCTATGTCCATAATACTATTATATAATTCATACACTCAGTTTAATAGGTAGAAATTCTATTATGCAGCAAGATAACGACCCTAAGCACTCATCTAAATTGTGTAAAGGGTTCTTATTGCAAAAAGAAACAGAGTGGGTCTTGAGGAATATGACATGGCCAGCACAATCACCGGATTTGAACCCGATAGAATTTTTGTGGGAAGAGCTCGATCGGAATATCCGGTTGCACTGTCCAACATCGAAAGGACACCTTTGGCAACTACTACAAGAAGCATGGAAAAATTTAAAGTTAGAAATACTCGAAAAACTAATTGCCAGGATCCCCAGAATATGTCAGGCTGTCACTAGAAGTAAGGACGGTTTTTTTGATGAAAAGACAATTTAAAGAAAAATATCTATTTCTTCGTACAAAAAATAATATAAAATGTAAAATATTTTACTTATAAGTATTTTGACAAATAAAACTTCCTCAATTACTTTGTAGGCGTTCAATTTTTCTTCGAAATATCCTGTTTCTCTTAATTTACGTAGTGATTCCAAACTTTTGGCCGGTAGTGTATGTCTAAACCCACCTTGCTTATAAACAGTATATTCCAACTAACGTACATTTCAAAATTTTGTAATACAGATCCAATTGCGCCTGTCAATAATCTCGGAAACTATTTTCTTAGTACTCTGCGCTGAACTTTCCACTAAATACAAAACGAGCATGTATTACCTACTACAAAGCCTTGGTAAGGTTGGATGACATTGGAGACTACTACTTTGTACTTTGTATTGTATGTACCTACTACTATCGTAAAAGGATTTGAAAATAGTCAGTAAAAATGAATATTTTGGTTAGTATAAATAATTAATGTCAGTATTAAATCGCATTTTGTGAATACAATTTTGTTTATTTGGTCGGTATTAATTTGTTTTTTGGACAATAAAATTTAAATTTTTGGTTAGGTTAGGTTAAATTAGGGTATTTTATTATACACACTGACCATCTATTTAAAATACTGACAAATGTTTACTAATATTTTAATGAAAATACTGACCACTTATATTACGTAAGTACTGATATTTTATTTTAAATACTGACCATTTATTTAAAATATTGATTAAAAATTTTTTTAATACTGACCCAATAAATAGTAGCCTTTGAAAACTGGACCTTACTAATTGTATTTTTTACCCATTCTTATACGACATGGTTTAATTTTAAGTAATAAAATAAAAAATATTGTCATTTTTGCATACTTTATTTACAAAATTTTTAATTGTACATATAGAACTAATATAACAATCACTATAGTCACTAATTATATACAATGTATTTTTTGTCGACCGATTGGATTGTCGTCAAACAACACGCAATTATAAATAGGAATATCAAATGATTTTCTTTGAATTTTTTCATTGTTTCTGATGTAGTGCATTATGTATACATATGTATAATCGTTACTCAAAATGCAAAAATATTATTTTGAATATATTGGTAAAAGATAATTTAGGAATAGTTTTATACAGGGTGTTCATCGTAACGGCTGACATGATTTTTTAGGCACTTCTGATAAGATGACAAAAAAAAATTGGACGTCGTTTAGACATCTTTTGGCTTTTATTCGATGTCTTTAAGATGTTCACAAAATGTCTGTGTGCTATTTGGGATGGTATTGAGAAAATTCAGTGATATCAGATAATGTTGCTTTTCTTCAACAATTTGCTTCGAAAATTATTTTTAAGTGTAATAAGGTTCCTTATTAATGCATAAATCAAATAGTAACGTAATTATCTAAAATTGCAATTTTATTTACAATAAAGTTTTTATGAAACGTTAAGAGGTTGAATCTATGGCATGTCTGTTTACTGCTTACATTCAGTTATCAAATATCACTGAATTACATTAATGTTCGATTAAGAGTTAATAATTAACCTTATTACATTTAAGAATGATTTTCTAAGCGAGTTTTTGAAGAAAAGTAACGTGTCTGATATCACTGAATTTGTAACAATGTTATTTACAATATTGAAAAAAAAATTATATGGTGTTATTTAAAAAAGTGAAAGTGACCCCGTTTTTTTGTTGAAGGAACAGTGTTTTGGAAATATTTATTATTGCAATTTGTTTTCGATTGAGTGCTGATTAATTTTTTTTTATAACTTTTTCTTGTCAGATTGTCAGTAGTGTTTAAAAATCATGGCTATTGTTACGGTGAACATCCTGTATATAAAATCTTAAGTAGTAATTCTTTCAA